CTATTGCTAGCTATAATACACTGTTTAGATGACTTAAGTGATTTTTCAATCACAACACCAAGATTCCCATTTAAATTGAAACAATAATTTGACTTGTGAAAACCTACAAGCATCACCTTACATTTTGAATAGTTAAACATCATCTGCCACATATTGCCCAATGCATCAAATGATCCAAATTTCCCTGTAAGTGTTCAGCATCTTTGATACAGTTAGACACCCCAAAAAATTTTAATGTTATCTGCAAACTTCAAAATTGTGTTAGTTATTCCAGAATCAATATCATTAATATAAATTACAAACAAAGAATTCATCAGCAATATAGTTTCCTTTAGATCTATTCTAATTAAGCTTACAAATTTTCTTGCAGTAGCTCCATTGCTCCAAAAATAAAAGATAGATTTTTTTTTACTTAAATTAAACCTTGCATAAATACATTTTAAATTAGACAAATGCTCTTTTTAATTTATGGTTTCCTAATCAGTAGGATTTAATTAGAAAGGTAACAAGTACGATAATATAAAAAGGACAAGTTATGCTATAAGGTCATGTTTAACATTTTGGTCTTTGGTAGATTTATATCACTGATTTGTTACAGTCATATTCTGTATTTTAACTGTAAAGTCACTGTGGTTGTATCAGACTGGGATTTATTCTCCTCTCTCAAACAATGAGGAACATAAGCTTAAAAAAAGGTTAAAAATGCTGTAGTAAAGAATACTAACAAAGTACAGTTGACTTAATGTCTGTTAGTACTCATCCAAGTGCTTGCACATATTCTTTTATGAATAGTTTAGGCAGAGTAATCATAATAAATGCGAAATGGGTAGAAACTGCCTAGTTCCTAGTTCCAACAAAGTTTCAGCTTGCCAAATAAGAAACCCTTTTTTTATTCTTGTTTTAGTTTTCTTATGTAACCCAACAAGTTTGTAATTTTTACATTTTAGTTACTTTTATAACAAAACCAAATATATGCAAAGAAAACAAGAAATTCAGTACTCGCACGTAGGTCTTATATTTTTTCTTTTTGCACTCAAAGCCTCAGTAAAAGTTAAACATAATTTTGGTATGATTGTTATCAGTACTTTACAAATCTATTTATTTCAAATATCTAATTTAGAACACAAAATAATAACAAAGAATACAATGTCCTATAACTATTATAATTTAACTGGCTTTCTTTATCTGAACTTACTTATACAACATTAAATAATACAATCATTAATATCTGAAAAAGGAGACAGAGGTTGGCTTCCCCTCCCATAGATTTGCACCTACTTATACAACATGCTTTCAAGAAAAATGAAGATCCATAACCCCTAGACCCCCCCAGATCTGAAACTACTTATGTAGTATTAAAAAATATGGTTATTAACCCCTATGGACAAAATTGATGGAAGGAGGGGGGTCCACTTCCTAGATCCCTTCTCTATGTCTGCACCTGCTCATACAATATTAAAGAATCAGTTACCTAATTTTGAGTTAGAAACATAAAACAGTGCAAAAGCAGTACGTTTACACATTAAGTAACCATAGGGCAGTGGGTGCTGCCAGTCAGTTGCCTTTCCTTTCGTCAGCAGTTCAAAATTATGTAGCTTTGTGCTTAACAATAAACACAATAGCAATATTTAGATTACTCTGATGGTTATATTAACTGAAAACAGAAAATAATTGAAAACCCCTAATTTTGATTATTCGAGGTAATAGCTGCTCACAGGTAATCGATCATGTTAATTAATTCACCAAGCTCTTATACTTAAGATATATTTTTTATCACTCACTTTATGCAACATTAATACAGTATCCACCTTTAAATGTCTTAATAATACCCATACCATACACAGAACTGTAATCATCTGTTTTTAAATTTAATGAATTGCAGACTTTGACATCATATTAACCTTTTCGAGACAGGTCACAGATGAAAGGCCATGTCATCTCGTTTGTTAACTCACATTCAAAATTTTATTGAACTACTGTTTCATGAATTTATGTCAATAAGTTTAGTATCAAACTGTAGATTATAATCCAAGTCTTAGAACTATACATTACTCAATTTGTTAATTTAAAAGTAAACATCAAAAGAACAGATTAACATTTATTTTTGTATGTCACTAGGTATGTTGAATGCAGCACTGGTTCAAATTAGATGTTTGTGAAGTCAAAATACTAAGTCTGTAGTTTCATATGAATTAGAAATGCAAATTACAGCTATTGACAAGCTAGAATATAAAAAAAGGTCTTATCTTTTCTATTTGCTAAGATATCGCTCACATAATAAATCAAACACAGTGGAACCCTGCCCACCTTTATCCATTTTTTTTGAAATGCTCCCTTATATACACTTATATATATGACATGAATAACCAATCAGAAGCTCAGAATGTCCCCCTAGTGGTTTTCTCAGCCTTTCTAAGGTTCCATCCACCATTTTTTCTTTTGAACCAAGATTTCAATGAGATAGGTTGCGTCGTTAGTCTGCTCAAAATTTCATATATTTTTTTAGACCCAAATAAAGCTTAGTTACTAAGCTTGATAAATTATAGTTGAAATGTATATATAAAACTTTAAAAAATATTTTGTTTCATATCCTCCACATGCAAAATT